AGAAAACTCTCTTGTTGGATCAAGAATGTTATTATTTGCAATGCAGCAACTTTACATGTAAGAAGTGCTGGGCGTATATAAAGAGATTGTCAACTTCAAAATGAACCTGGCCATTTTCCTGTTCCTCAGTTGCCACACAGTTTGGGGATGGTGGAAGATGGATGGAACGCATTGCTAGATACAACACAGAGCTTTCTCATGAGAACCTAGGTCATCTCCATAGGTGATGGCTAAAATTGTGGAGGAGTACCTCGAGAACCTGCCAGTTAACCTAATTAGTCTACATGACCTGTGACAATTGGGGAGGGAGTTATTTCCTATTTTAATTATACTGAAACTGAAGGAAAGATTTAGAGTTGGCTTTACATTTTATCATACTGATTGATGTACCCAATAAAGAAGTCCTTTGAGGAAGATTACAGTCTCAGAGTTCTGATTTGCTTGGGTTCATTAGTTGAACCTTGACTAATGAACCCAAAAAGAAGTTTGGTAAGAAATTGGACTACTCTTGGACTGCTCTGTAAAATTCTAGTTATCTAGTTCACATTAAAAATGCAGAAGAATCTTGACAGACTTGAGTATTGGAGTCCATCCAATAAGATGCATTTCAGTGGTGAAAAAAGTAAGGTACTGCATTTAGACAGGAAAACCCAAATGCATAGATACAAAATAAGCAATACCTAGCTCAATAGGTAGTAACTGTGAGAGAGATCTAGATGTCCTCATGGACCACCACTTGAGTATGAGCCAGTAATGTGCTGCAGCAGCCAAACAACAACAATGCAATCCTGGACATAGGAATAATATCAATATCACAAAAAGTGATAATGATGCTTTGTAATGCATTACTGAGGCCACACTTAATACTGTACACAGTCCTGGTCATCACAAAAAAAAAAAAAAAATGGAGACCCTAGAAAGTGTCTCAATATCAAAGTTGATAAAGGATCTGGGGGCTAAATCATATGATAAATTGTTGAGAGGCTAGATATGTCTAGTCTATCAAAGAGAAGAATTAGAGGGAACATGACAATTGTCTTCCAGTACTTGAGGGGCTGTCACAGAGAAGAGGTGATTGACTTATTCTCTAAACCACCTGAGGGAAAACATTTCTGGCAGTAAGAACCATAAGCAGCTTGCCTCCTGGAATTCTTGGGTGCTTCCCAGAGTTGTGCTATCCTTTTAAAGGAAAGATGGTGTACAAAGCTAATCAATAATAGTAATTTTGAACAATAGTTACAATTATTAATTCACATTGTGTGGTTTGTACCTAAAGTTGCTGTTTTGCTACTGGGTAAACCACAATTTTTAATTGTTTACAATTTTGAGAAGTGTAGAACTACATTGTAGCACCTACTAGTACAGTATAGTGTTAATTTTCAGCTGGCTAGAGAAACAGAAACAGAAAATGATTCTGCTGAATAGACTAAAATTTTGCATATATCTCAGTGCATGATGCAATATGTGATGACTTGAAGCATGAAGGAAAATCTATGGCTTTGATTTCTGTCATTTCAGTCTTTAATTAGAAATACAGCTGCAGAGATTAATTAAAGTTAGATGAAAAAACAATACCATTGGTCCACTAGTAAGTTATATTAGTTAATATCAGCATGTCATCAACAAAAGGTACCGGTTTGCATTAATTTTGTCTCATCCCTGAATCTTCTTAATGTAACACAAATGGCCATGATCCTAAACCTTGTTGAAAGGTGTCAAAATACCTTTCTTCCGAGGATTCGATTTTCCCGCTGGGAGAGCTCCAGCTCAAGGATACGGACAACTGCTTGAAAGCTGGATCTTTTTATTTTTCAGGAAGGTGGTGGACAGCGAGAAGTCTGCATTCCTGGGCTAGCTGGCTTCTTATGGTAAGTCCCCGGTTTTTATACCCTTTTTTCCCTTTGTAAGTTGATTTTGTGTGAATGTTTGTATTTGTGCTTAATGTTTCAAATCCTGTTTGAGATTGTCTTTATGCCCGCCGGAGGGCAAACTCCGTGGGGTGCAGAAGACAAACTCCGCGGGGTGGCTAGATTGTATTATTGGTTTTCTGTAATCTCTTTTAGCTTTAAGATAGTTTTTCATATTTGTTCTGTGGCAATCTCCTGTCTGTCCCTTTTGTAATTTATCTTTTGTGTCTTTTGTCTGTTTGTTTTGCTTATTTGGTATGTCCTGTGTTTGTAAGGGTTTTCTAAATTATCTTTTTGTTTCCTTTTCTTATTTGTCTAGTTTTCTTAATTACTTAGGCTTTTGTCTATAGGGATTCTTTAATACCTTTTTTATTTGATTCCTTTTCCTATGTAAGTTTGTTTTATGGCTGACCTGATGTTCCCCTTGGGCTTTTCCTGTTTATGTGACACTACTGTCTTTGTGAAGTTCCCTTTCCACAGCCTAAAGTCAATTTAAATTGATTCTTCAATAATCTAGAATTGGAAAAGAACTTTCTGCTGAGAATAGAGAGTAAGGCGGTCTAGGTATAGGAGCTACTACAAATGCATACCCTACTAGACTGAAAGGATTAAAAGAGAAAGAGTGAAAAATGGAATGTCAATATTAGAAAGGATGTTTTCATAATAAAGTAAATTTAACTTAACATTTTAAAAATATCATTTCAAAAATGTATGAATAGATTTTAAATGGGTTCAACATGTTTTAAAGTACTAACTAATGCAGAAAAATAGCACTGTAGAAAATCCAGTTTTATATTCAGCCATATTTATCCACCATTTCTTCTATCTCAAAAGGAAAACCATAATATACAATGGAAGAAAGTGACATGGGAAAGATCAACCATACTCTAACAAGAGCAAAAAGAATAATCCCTAGAACAGTGGTGTCAAACTCATGGTATCATGCTGTCATCAAGTGACATTTTATTTATTTATTTATTTTGATTTGTCAATCGCTTACAAGATAATAGGTATAAGTATATACATAGTTATGAATACATGAAATGGATACATATAAGAAAAATAAAAGAAACAATAGGACAGGGACAGTAGGCATGTTGGTGCCTGTTGCTAAACCAGGGGTGGGCATAGCCAGCGAGCAATGCATCCGGTCTTCGGGCCATGAGTTTGACACCCCTGCCCTAGAAGATGGAAAAATGCTGTAGTTCTATAAGGAGTATATTGGAATTCATAGATATGTAATTTAGAATTTCTTGAGGAAACTATACTTTCTATTAATCAGAAAATGTCACTTCATCCCTTTGGAGAAAATTCTTGGTGAACACTGAAAGCTTAGTTTGCCTCTACAATCAAGCAAATTTGGAATATAATTGTAATTACAGATTATTAGATGTGCTTACTTGTACGGTATTTTATTTTTGCATGTGGCAAATTGTTCATTTTTATTTTATATATGACTGTTTAAAATGAATTTAATAAACACATTTTTACTTTTTAAAACATCCCAGTTCCCAAGCCAAAAAATAGAAAAAGCCAACAAAATGGAAATGAGGACATTAAATGTTTATGATGTATTCAACAGCGTTTAGTTCTATAAAGAGCTTTTAGTTTATAAAGTCCACTAAAATATACTAAGCCTTTCTGTTATTTTGATCACATTTGCAATGTTGACTTTACAGTCATCAATATTTCATCTTCAGATTTTGCAGAGCAACAGTATAAAGTACGAGGGCAGAAACACGCACTGGATAGCACCATCCACAGAGAACTAAAAATTCAGCTGTTTTCTCATGAGTTTTACATCAATACATTTTATATTCAGGTTTCATTTTCTCCAAGGCCAATTAATCATTTGTTGCTTTGCATCAACATTTGTTTATTTTCTCACATTTTTCATGATACTAAATCCCAGCTTGGTGGGCCTGTCAATCAGGCATCTTCTTAGGTTAATAAATGAGATGCGTATTTCTTAAAGAACCCAAGTTGAATGTTTATTTTAAATTTAAAGTATCCACCCCCTATTTTCACTAAGACAGAATACTTTGCAGCTCAAGATATAGCAGTGATTGGCATCATCTTCTTTGTCTTCTCAAAATGGCATGCCTAATATCCAAAGTTGGTGGAAAAAGAATAACAAACAAAACAGAACAACAACAACAAAAACCCCACAGCAATATACTTTGCTTCACGCAAATGGTTTAAACAGGAACAGTATTCTAGGTTAAACATTTATTCACTGTCCTTGCCCTGCACTTAAAATGTATTCTTCCTTATTTGGGATTTCTGCACTCAAATTATTCATGGGCCCTCTCCTCATTCTTCTGTTTTACAGCTCTCACAGAAGTGAAGCAATCGAATGTAATAATTATACCATTATGAAGCAAGTGTGGAATTAGCATTTGTTCCTGGGGAGCGTGAAGCAAATGGATACTACTGGTGAATTAGTTAAAGGCACGCTGAAGCTGCAATTAGAGGCACTTTTTATTTCTATTGATTTAAATTCCACTGGATTTAATTTAGACCCATAATCTTGGATTAGTCATAAATACCTTCAGAATATCTTTCACCCTGATATCCTTGGTGAGCTTGTTGCCTTTCAGTCCAGACTGAACCAATAAAGTGACATGATTTTTTACCAAGTACAGAACAGGCAGAAATACAACACATAAAGCTTTTCTTTGCTTAGAGGAACAGGCAATGCTAGAGAAGCATAGACTGATGTAAAGGGCATGAAACTCTGAGCCATTTTAAGCTCCTGAACATATTTGATTCTTTATGAGTCCTCTTTTGGACTTTCCAAAACCTTCTTGCTGTTGCCCATGGTTGCCAAATGAGTTCCATGACCCTAAATAAAATTCAGGATTTTGCTTTGGAACGATGATGGCCCTACATTTGAAATTCAGCAAAACCTAAAAAGCAATTTATGATCAGATATGTGCAGTAAATTCTCTGTTTAAAGACAAAGGAGTTTTAAAATAACACATCTGGGGCAGTCTCTTTATATTTGGCTCCTGTTAAGATTTGACACGTAAAGGTTGCAATACTATTCACATAAAAAGTAAAATATAAAGGCATACCTATATATAGGCATACCTTTTACCTTGCTGCAGAGGTTCAGTGTCTTTTTTCCAATTAATAACAGCTTTGAGAGAAGCACTGGGTTTGCATCCAATGGTTACTTCACCTCCCACATGGACGCCTGATGTTTTTTTCATGGGGTATTTAGAAAAATCAGGAGCGGAAGCTATATATAAATAATCAATTAATCAAAACAACTTTGAGCTGTGGAACAAAACCTGAAGCTCCAAGTTATATTTAGTCCCATCAAAAGTGTTGGGGTGGTCTTTAGGGGCTCTCCGTGATTTAATAAGAGGAATTTATAAAATATATGAAAAGTACCGTATTAACAGCACTAAATCAATAATTTGGATTAACATGTACACTTCTCCAGTTTACAGTATATAGGGTATGTTTTCCTCACAAAATAGCCAGATAAAATATAATCCTGGATCCCCAAAGCATATGTGCTCTAAAACATATTTTGACATTTCTTAGAAATGAATGGGGCTGCAATCCTACACACATTAACTGACAGCCACATCCACTAAATTCAGTTATTTTTATTTTTGAATAAACTATTACATAATATCTTCTTTTTTCCTTAAGCCATGCATGCATTTTCTTCTTTAAGATTGTCTTTCTAATCAACTTTTAAGAAATGTTACTTTTTTAAATCTCCGTTGTCCTATTTATCTTTTTCAGCCTTAAACTTACCCATCACTCTTAGCTCAGCATTGGAGTAAATGGAATCATATTTGTTTTCCGCAACACATTGATAGAGACCAGAATCTGATATGTTCAGCATACCTATAGTAAGAGTGCCATTTTCAATTTGAATTCTTTCCTACAAAAATAAAAAAGCCATACAACCAAGAAAGTACATAAGCAAATACTAAGTCCAATGCCTGCATTGTTGTTGACAGAGCTTTTATTATATAACTTTTGTGGGTTGTTGTTAGCTTCCCAGAGTTTATCTGTAAGATGGACAGCCATATAATTGATTGAATGAATAAAATACATGTTAAAAGTGGCCTCTGTTTGAATGGGAAGTAAGCATTTCAATTTTCCAACTTCTTGTGTGCCCCTAAACATTACACCTTTGCTCCATGAGCTGCATTGCTTGCTAATTTGCCTGGTATTGTTTTTGACTTTTAAAGCCCTTCATGGTTATCTGAGGGACCACCTCCTATTACTATCTGTCCATCAACTCTTGCAGAGAAGGCACATGGTAGATTTTATCTGCCAGGGAATTGCATTTGATATTTTCCAGAAGATGGCCTCTTTGTTGTGGTTCCCACAATACGGAATCTTCTCTGGAAAAATGAGATTAGTTCCATCTCTCAGTATTCCGTACATTTCCAAAACCTGACTATGTAATCAGGCCTTAGAGTCCTAGAGAACCAGGAAGATTTTGTGCTGGCTCCCTTGTAATGGTTAATATGATGTTTCCTATTTTGTGTGCTTCTTTCATTGTTATATTTAATTGTGACTGTTTTATACATATTTATTATTTTTAAATTGTGTCACATGCCACCCAAAATCATTTTCTAGGGAGATGCCCAGCTTTAAAAAATTGATAAATAAATTATGTTCACCCATCCTTTTCCATTCAGTCTAGATTTCATGTCCAAGTTCTCTTAATGATCCCTATGGTCCTTAATTCTGGGTCTATGCCTTACAAGTAAATGTATAATTATTTTAAACAAAGACAGTTGCATTCAGTTGTCATATCCTTTGTATCATCAAGGCCCATTTAAAAATAATATAGTTGGCACTCTGGATAGCCTTCATAGAATAGAACCCTTAGAACTGACCCATTCCAATTTTGCTTAGCTTATCATTTTGATGAGAATACACTCTCTGGTTGTGTGGCTACTATAGAAAAACTAATTAACATCACTTCAGTAGTTTTAAGTAGTAGAGAATAGGCTATTTACTAAATATCTTCTCAGTGCTTTATTCTATCTCCAAGCTTAAAGTATCCTTAGAATGAATTTCCTTTTCTCTAACATACAGACATATCAGAATATTTAATTTAGGTATTTTATATCATGTGCAATTCAATCTTCCAATCTTTCTTTTGAGCCAAAAAAAAACAAAAAACCCTAATTTAGTGAATAAGTACACACAAAACTAAAAACAATAGGAAAATGGACAAGTTCAGGATATCTGAACTAACAAAAGTAGATACACAATAAATCTACAATAAATATTTTATTATTCTGTTACTAATTATTTATCTTTAAGCTCCAGGAAAAGATGGTGAGAGTTTGATCATATATTCATATAATGTTAAAACCTGGGATCACCACCAAAATTAATTTGTATAGATTTAAAAAGTATGTACTTCATATATTTAAGTTTAGGCTTCAAAATATGAATTGGACATTGCGTAATAGATATATAGATATATGGATCTCTCTCTCTCTCTCTCTCTCTCTCTCTCTCTCTCTCCCCCATGTGGTAGGGAGAGGTGGGAGAGCGCCACGTGGTGGCTTAGCCAGCCAGTGCCGCCAGCGGGATGGGGCCGTACTGGTGGGGAAGTCAGCCACCCGAGCCCAGGAATGTGGGGGGCAGGTAGGTAGGCTGGGCGAGGCCCAGGGAGCCCTGGAGATGGCCTAAGGAGCCCTGGGGAGCCCTGAAGATGGCAGGGGGAGGCCCCGAGAGCCCCAGAGTTAACTTGAGGAGGCCCGGGGAGGCCCAGAGATGGCCGGGGGAATGATGTTGCACATGTGAGATAGGGACGGTGCAGGGCCAGCCAGATTTACCGGTTCTCCAAACTACCAGGAACCGTAAGAACCGGTTCTACTGAACCAGTGCGAACCGGTAGAATCCCACCCGTGTGTGTGTGTGTGTGTGTGTGTGTGTGTGTGTGTATACATCTCTACCTCTATCTAACTACCTATCTACCTATCCATCTCCGTCTGTCTAATGGGTCAGACATAATTATTTATCCAGAAATCTATGCAGGGGGTAGAATATGTGTGATGTTTCCACACAATCCAGAATTCCATGTTTTCAGGAATTCTGAACAGCATAGAAGTCTCTGTAGGACAATGTAGATTAAAGGCCTCCTTCATGCAGAAATTCATACTATTATGAAGACATTTAGGAGAAGTTTTCTTAGTTGTGCTACAATCATGCATTACATGATCCTTACTTTTTAATATGGTGTGTAACTATATTAGAAAACTTATTATCACAAGTTGGGCTGGTGGATTAATTTTTTTTAACAAATCCTGGTCTTTTTTTTTTTCCTATTTGGTGCTCCCCTCAAAAGAAACCAGGACTGCTTAGCTTATTGTAGCAAGATGTTTATTTATTTATTTTTTTAAAAAGGAGCATTAAAATAAGGGCTGAGCTTCTGGTAGAATTAGCCTATTTATTTGAACAGACAAATAAGTGGAGATGCGTCTTATTTAACACTATAGCTGTAGTTATGAGTTAAAAGATAAAAGCATCTAAAATAAAATGCTGATTTTCAAATGAATCCAAATCTAATGAAATTCTTACCTCTGATGTAAGTGGTTTAAACCAACTATATGAAGGCTTTGGTTTGCCAATTGCTTCACATTCCCAAACTAAAGTTTCATAAAGAGAAAGTTGTGTAGTCTCAATGTTTTTGTTCCATTCTGGAACAGCTGTAGCAATAAAAATATTATTGTAACTGTTTTAATGTAAGTTATCTCGAGGTTTTGGCAGTGTATTCAATCAAAAACATAAACTGTCTTTAACATATATATGTTTTAAAAAACCCAGCCACATACGTTTTAAGGAGTTTATTTGTATATGAAACTCCACAATTTGAATATAAAAATAGATTTTTCTTTCTGTGACTCTGCTAACATTTCTGTCCTTTTCTCAATCTAACGCATCTGATACATCCATCATTCTGGTTTGATCTAATCATCCTTAATCTGAAATACTGACTGTTGTGAATCAATAAAAGTGAATAACCTAAATGCAAATTAGGGGTTGAAAACCTGCACACTTGATTGGTCCTTATACAACAACTTGGGATTGGGCCAGAACCAGTCCCTGATTGGCTACTTTGGGACTGTCCTTATTGGTCAGTAATTGGAACCTGTTGCGCAGTTTCATTGGTTAATAAGGCAGCAGCTAACCCTATAAAAGGGTTACTGCTGCCCATAGCATTGCTCTGTTCCATTCTGATTCCTGTTATTATTAAAGAGTTGAAGTCACTGGTCAGATGTCTGGTCTCCTTATTCTCCAAACATAACACTGGCGACGAGGATGGGATACGGAGACCGAAGAGCTGACTAAACCTACAGAGCAACCTACAGAGCACGTGGTCAACACGCACCATCAACAGCAACATGGCCAGCGGTGCCGTACCACCCGCTCCATTCAATCCAGAGACCGAAGACTGGGAGGCCTACATGGATCGGTTCCAGATGTTTCTAGAAACTAACAATTTGAAAGATGCAACAACCGGCAAAAAAAGAGCTATCTTTCTAACGCATTGTGGGCCAACCGTGTTTAAAATGGCAAAGTCGCTTGCCAAGCCAGCAGAGGTAAAAGAAATGGACTGGGACGTCTTCGAGCCGTTACTACGGGCTCACTACGCGCCCTCCGTACCAACCCTAGTAAGAAGACACGAATATTACCAGAGGGATCAACGGAAGGGCGAAAGCCTTGCCAATTACATCGCGGACCTCCGGAACCTAGGAGGCCTCTGCGGGTTCGCCGACCTGGAAGAAGCCCTCCGGGACCGTTTGGTTCTGGGCCTAGAAGACGGCGCTATCCAGAGCAAAATTATGGCTAAGGGGAAACATCAGCCTCACCGATGCCCTTAAAGAAGCCTCAGCAGCAGAGGCGACAAAGAAGTCAGCAGCCCAAATGCGCCGCACCAACGCACCGCTACGTAAACTCGCCACTGATACCTCGTCTTGCTCAGAGAGACACCCGGTATTAACTTACCACGAAGACCTAGAGTCCCCGTCCGACAGCGATGAGGAAGAGGTCAACCGACTTCGAACAGAGAGAGCAGTCCTCACAATACTCATTTCGACCGTGTGCCGGCTGTGGAGCGAATCACCCACGATCCGGCTGCAAATTCCTTGATGCACTTTGCCGCCATTGCGGGAGATGCGGTCACATCGCAAAGGTTTGCAGAAGCAAACAGAACTCCAAACCAGGACAGGCGGAATTCCAGTCTTCCGGATTCTTCGGCACACACCAAGAAAAAGTGAACCACTCCTACAGAAACAAGCCGTCCACCACTTCCACCAGGCGTGAGGAAACCAGGCGGGAAGAGACCCACCAAACAATCACCATAGGCCACGCTACATCCCTTGATGCCGGGAAAATCCGAGTAAAGGTCACCATCGAAAACAAACCTTGCGTGATGGAGGTAGACTCGGGATCTTCCCTCTCGATGGTGTCGTGGAAAACGCTCCAACAGCTCCTTCCAACGATTCGCCGCCAAGACCTTAACCCTCAAAGGGTTATACTCAAAGATTATCAGGGCAACCGAATCCCCGTCGTCGGGTCCCGCAGATTCCAGGTCTCATTCAAGGACCGCACCGTCGCACTACCACTGACTGTTGTGGATCGCGACAGGCCTAGTCTTCTAGGCCTCCAATGGTTCAGGCCACTCGGAATCACTGTAGCCGGAGTCCACAAGGCCGAAAGCGTCGATTGGGAGTAAGACCTCGTACAAGAATTCAAAGACGTTTTCGCGAACGGACTAGGCAAGTATAAGGGGACCCCAATCTCGTTTAACTTGAACCCTGAAATAGCACCCATCCGCCTTAAGCCGCGTCGGGTGCCGTTCGCCTTAAAGCCTAAAATCGACGAACAACTCGATAAGCTGATAGCGCAGGGCGTACTAGAATCCACCGACCACGCCCATTGGGAAACCCCCATAGTGACGCCAATCAAGCCTGATGGGTCCCTAAGAATTTGCGGAGACTACCGGGCCACATTAAACCACGCACTGCAGCAAAGTGCTTATCCAGTACCGCTAGTGCAACACTTACTCCATTCTCTGGGCGGCGGGAAAGTTTTCGCCAAACTAGATTTAGCCCAGGCGTATCAACAATTGCCTGTAGACCCAACCACAGCCGAGGCACAAACGATCGTAACACATAGGGGCGCCTTTAAATGCAACCGGCTCCAATTCGGAGTAAGCGTCGCCCCTGGAATCTTCCAGAGTTTAATGGAAAGGTTATTACAAGGGATAAAAGGCATTGTCCCATATTTCAACGATGTACTCATCGCCGCACCTAACAAAGACACCCTAGAAAAACGACTCAGAGAGGTTTTACGAAGATTCCAAAATGCAGGCCTCAGAGTAAAAAAAGATAAATGCCACTTATGTACCGAAAAAGTAGAATTTTTGGGATACCTCCTGGACAGCCAAGGAATTCATCCCACCGAAGACAAATTACGAGCAATTAAAAAGGCACCCACTCCGAGGAACAAGGCAGACCTACAGGCGTTCCTTGGACTTATCAATTTCTATAATGTGTTTTTACCCCACAAAGCAACAGTAGCTGAACCATTGTATAGACTATTAGACAAAAAAGCAACGTGGGTTTGGGGACAACGGGAACAACATGCTTTCCAACAAGTAAAGAAATTGCTAACTTCTGATTCAGTACTTATGCAGTACAACGAGACTCTGCCGCTCACTATCACGTGTGATGCATCGCCTTTTGGGGTTGGGGCAATTCTGGCCCACGTGTTACCAAACGGAGCGGAAGCCCCCATCGTGTTTTTTTCGCGAACCTTAGCTAAAGCTGAACGCAATTATAGTCAGCTGGACAAAGAAGCTTTTGCTATTGTCGCTGCAGTTAAAAGATTTCACGAATATGTTTATGGCCGTGCCTTTACAATAATCACTGATCATAAACCGTTACTGGGGATCATTGCGGGTAATAAACCAACCCCGTATATATTGTCCCCCAGAATGACCCGTTGGTCTGAATTCCTGGCGGCCTATAACTACACTTTGCAGCACTGCCCGGGGAAATCGATTCTCCACGCCGATGCATTGAGCAGAACACCGCTCCCAGACGCTGTTGTGGATCCAGCCCCAACCCTCTCAACACTACAGATTGAATCTCTACAGGCACCACCCTTGACGGCTAGAGACATTGCTTTTGAAACGAAACGTGACCCAGTTCTGCAACACATACTACGCTGGGTTGAACGGGGGTGGCCGACGGACCAAATTGCACCTGAATGGGCGCCCTTCAAAGCCCGCCAAACCGAGCTGTTTTCCCAAAAAGGCTGTATCTTGTGGGGCGATCGAGTCGTAATCCCTGCCAAATTGCAACAGACTGTGCTGGCAGTATTGCATGAGGGACATCCGGGTATTGTGCGGATGAAATCACTCGCACGCAGCTACGCTTGGTGGCCAGGAATCGACAAAAGAATCGAGGCCTGGGTCGCTACGTGCCAACGCTGCCAGGACGTCAGCAACGCCCCACCGAAAGCAAGCCCAACCGAATGGGAAACGCCGAGGGGACCGTGGTCCCGTATTCATATTGACTTTGCGGGGCCTACCAAAGGTCACACTTTCCTGATTACTGTCGACGCCTATTCCAACTGGCTCGAGATTCATCGAATGCACACAACTACAACCGACTCAGTTATTAATAAATTAAACAGACTCTTTGCCACGCACGGGTTTCCGGACGTGTTGGTCTCGGACAACGGCCCGCAGTTCACTGCATTGCCCTTTGAACAATATCTGGCTGATCAGGGCATCCGCCATGCGCTGACCTCGCCCGCGCACCCTGCGGCGAATGGACGTGCAGAACGCATGGTACAATTTGTGAAAAAGACCTTGCATAAAATGGAATTTGGCAACATCGACGAGAAAATCAATCGAATCCTCTTATTGCAGCACATCACGCCTCACAGCGTGACCAACAAAACACCCGCTGAACTTCTTATGGGGCGGAAAATACGATCGCACCTGGACCGACTCCACCCCGCTTTCGCACCAGAAAAACCTGTCGGCTCCAGCAGCAAATGCCGGGAATTTAAGGTAGGCGATTTAATCTTTGCCAAAAACTTTTCCGGTGACCCGTTATGGATACCCGCAACCGTTACCCACCTCACCGGGCCTAGATCTTACCGCTTGCTAACAGACGATGGGAGGGTGTGGAAACGCCACATAGACCAACTCCGATCGAGATTATCACCCAGCGGCCATGAATTTCCCAGTTCAACAACTCAAGGGGGAGGGAGTATCGAGGGAATTGACTTTGATACAACTAATAGCGGGTCAACGGGAGCCCTACAGCCCAGTGAAGCACCGGAACGTGAAGCGGGGAGGGAGTTGATGTCGCCAGGAAACTTTAATACAGGGGAAAACGAACTGCAAAACCCCGAAGAAACACGCAGCAGCAGAGACATCCACAGTGAATGCAGCACGGAATCACCGTGCAGTGAAATAGAAATTAACAACGGTCATCCAAACGCTCCACCGGAACCGGACGTTGGACAAAACCCGGTGGAGCCTCGGAAATCTTCCAGGCAGACCAAACGGCCTGCCTATCTTGAGGATTTTATCACAGCTCCCCTCAAACGGAACCCAAGGGGGAGGGGTGTTGTGAATCAATAAAAGTGAATAACCTAAATGCAAATTAGGGGTTGAAAACCTGCACACTTGATTGGTCCTTATACAACAACTTGGGATTGGGCCAGAACCAGTCCCTGATTGGCTACTTTGGGACTGTCCTTATTGGTCAGTAATTGGAACCTGTTGCGCAGTTTCATTGGTTAATAAGGCAGCAGCTAACCCTATAAAAGGGTTACTGCTGCCCATAGCATTGCTCTGTTCCATTCTGATTCCTGTTATTATTAAAGAGTTGAAGTCACTGGTCAGATGTCTGGTCTCCTTATTCTCCAAACATAACACTGACCACTGAAATATTGCAAGTTTTCAAACATTATGACAATCAAAATATAGAGTAGTAGATTCAAATAGTTCAATATCTGAGTTCTTTAAAGCGAGCATTACCTCTTTATATTAACCCCCATTTTCCTAAACTTCAATGATAAAAAGTCTAAAAATGGATTTTAAGTTTCAACTCTCCAATCATTTTAATGAGCTCAAGTATTTCACTGTTGATAATATCCTGTATGAAAGACATATTTAAATATTCCCCCCTTGAACATAACTAGCACTGTGCTTTTAACCAAATTACTTTGCTTATCATATGTAAACAATTGGCCCCGTGCAATATTACTTCCCTGTACATTCCTTGCAATACATTCATAAAAACCTTCATCTTCCTGCTGAAAATCTGGGATCTTAAGGATTCCTTTAGATGTGCTGATTTTTCTGGCTAATGGGATATCATCAGCTCTCTTCCAAGTGATGGTGGGAACAGGACTAAATGAATGTGAGACATTAGGAAAAATAGGAGCAGACATGATTTAAAGCAAAAATATTAATGCAAAATAGTGTTCTCTTGAACAATGCAGTATTATCCACAGTTAGATACTATGGAAATTATTTTGAATGAAAATTGACATTGATTGGTTTTAATAAATATTAGAGATGATAAATAATTGATGAACATCTTGAACAGGAATGATTCTAGACTTTCTAGAAGAAATTCTAGTGACTGTGGAAGCCTACTATGCTTACTGTATGTTGATGAGGATGATCCATCTTTGACCTTGTTGCTATTCAAAATAGAAGGAAAGTGCTACTGATTTTGCTGCATGCTTGAAAATGTTCCATCTTCCTTATATATAGTAGAAGAGGTATTAACAGAAGAGCTGATATTTTGATGTTGTGTTGTTTTTTTACAGACACTAGAAAGACAATCTAGGGGGAAATGAATGTTGATCCAGATTGTGTATCAGATTTGCTGACTGGAAATCATCATCATCATCATCATCATCATCATCATCATCATCATCATCATCATCATCAT